TCCTCAGTCATGTGACCTGCAGTCTCCTCAGTCATGTGACCTGCAGTCTCCTCAGTCATGTGACCTGCAGTCTCCTCATGGTGCTCCAGTGGTTCCTTTGTCACCTGTAGAGAAGGAGACACTGGGCCTGTAGTTCATAGTGCTGACCGTCAGCATGTGACCTGCATAAACAGAATCACAGCAGAAGGAGGAATCAGTGGGTGGAGTCAGATGTGGGGTCGTTATTCTAGGTTTCGTAGTGTAAACATGGCGGGCACGCAGCGTCGAGCTGAGGAGTCTCTGGTGCGGTCATTGCTCCTCTCCTTTTCTTCACCTGGAGACTGAGTGATCACCTGCCCAGGTGTGAGGCTTCTGCTCTGTGGCCCTCTGTGAGCACAAGGGGAGGAGCCTCTTAAACAGAGCGCTGCTCAGTGATCATGTGACGTCTTCATTATCAAGAATCAGTTTACTCTCTTACAGGGTCAGCTGTTCCCTGGTGATTGGTCCATTTTAATCTCTCCCCCTCTTTGCAGGTATGATGGGACCGCCCCCTGGCATGCGACCACCAATGGGTCCTCCAATGGGCATGCCACCTGGTCCGGGTCGCGGCGCTCCAATGGGTATGCCCCCCCCAGGCATGAGGCCTCCTCCGCCGGGCATGAGAGGTAAGGTCTCACTCTGGAAACACCCATTTGGATCACATCGTGGTATTTATCAGACCAATGGGACTTGTGCTCTGCTCTTTCAGGACCACCTCCTCCTGGGATGAGACCTCCCCCACGGCCCTGAAGAGGCTCCACCCCTTCACACTCACCTGTTGTATAGATTTTTTTTTTTTTAAACTTCTGGTTTGTGTTTTTTAAATAAAGTTTTTCAGTGTGACTCCACTTAGTTTGTGTAGTTTTTATGGTTATCACTTCAAGAAGCCAATCAGAGCCTAGGCGGTGTCAGCAGAAGGCGGAGCCTGTGGCGTCTGAGAGTGCGTTGCAATCGTCCCGTTTGCTCAGGAAGGGTTCTCACTGAGAGACGTGCTCCAAAGTATCTGCATGGCGGCGATAATCAGCTGTTCCAAACACTAAGGAAAGGAGCTTCAGTGCTTCCTGTAGATCAGGGGTGGGCAACTCCAGGCCCCCAGGGCCCTGCAGGTTTTAGATGTGTCTTTGATCCAACACAGCTGATTTAAAGGCTAAATTAGCTCCTCAACATGTCCTGAAGTTCTCCAGAGGCCTGGTAATAGAATAATAATGTGATTCAGGTGTGTTGACCCAGGGTGAGATCCTGCAGGACACCGGCCCTCGGGGCCTGCAGTTGCCCACCCCTGCTTTAGATGAAAGTGTTCTTAATTAGGTCACCAAAGTCAGTCCATGGCTGTGTCCCAATCCAGCGACCGCACACTTCGAGTATGCATTTTGAGACCTATTACGTCACAGCGACGACGGCTGTTTGTACTCCAACTGTGCCGTCGATTTCCCCAAATTTGAAGTGTGGTCTGGTGTGTACTTCATGGTCCCATATATCCCACAATTCAGAGCTGGGTGTGGATAATTTTGCCGAAAAATACGGCAGAAGCGGAGTGGCCGAAGAGTGAACTTTCAAAAGTAAGTACCAAACGGACTTTAACGTGTGTTTGAACGAGCTGTTCACTCGTTAAGCTGAAAGAAAGATGCTTTAATCACAG